GCGTCTGTTACTGCAGGTGTAGGACCCGGTGAAGTAGCTGGGGCTTCTGTTACTGCAGCTGTAGAATCCGGAGACGTAGCTGGGGCGTCTGTTACTGCAGGTGTAGGTTCTGGTGAAGTAGCTGGGGGGTCTGTTACTGCAGGTGTAGGATCCGAAGAAGTAGCTGGGGGGTCTGTTACTGCAGGTGTAGGACCCGGTGAAGTAGCTGGGGCGTCTGTTACTGCATGTGTAGGATCCGAAGAAGTAGCTGGGGGGTCTGTTACTGCAGGTGTAGGACCTGGTGAAGTAGCTGGGGCGTCTGTTACTGCATGTGTAGGTTCTGGTGAAGTAGCTGGGGCTTCTGTTACTGCAGGTGTAGGTTCTGGTGAAGTAGCTGGGGGGTCTGTTACTGCAGGTGTAGGTTCTGGTGAAGTAGCTGGGGCGTCTGTTACTGCAGGTGTAGGTTCTGGTGAAGTAGCTGGGGCGTCTGTTACTGCAGGTGTAGGATCAGGTGTAAATGCAATTATTAGTATATGATAACGTGTAAGTGTTTAGCTTCAGCTAATTCTCAAATTACATGTATCATAGATAATGAGATAAGTGTTTATTGGGTTTTTTGTTGTTGTTGTATTTTAAACCTTTTTGGTGAAGCTGCAAGGTGCAAGTTATAAGTATTACTATGAACAAAAGCATAATAAAAATAATAACAACAACCAAAAATATGTGTATATTTTAAATGAAATTATATGAAGTTTTATATCATTCATTTGTTTTACATCCAGCATATTTCATGTACCCAAGGGTAAAGAAGTCCCTACCAACAAATATTTTCAGATTGCTCTGGCACAGTATATACTGATTGAATAAAACAAAGCGAAGTCCAACTGTTCACTGTAAAAAGTGTTTGATTGTATGTTTTGTTTTCTGAGAAGCTGCAACCACACAATAGCCAATCCACTGGTTTCACACAAATTTGTGACTGTCACACTGTCTACACTGTGCAACAAACCTGCCTTGACACATTAAGTGTTTCATGGAAAAAGATTTTGAAAGTCAGTTTATTGAAGTATTTGTAATTAA